TTATTAAGAAGATGATTAAGTAATAAAGGTAGACGATATGTAATTGACTGGTAAGTATAGTTAGTACGAGCTCGTGGTACTATCCATTTTTTGAAATGACGGGTGTTGAAACTACGAAGATGTTCGGAGAGCTCTGACATCTTGCATAAAAGCGAAGCATGCTCAGGAGATGAAAAACGAAAGCTGTGCAGTAATCTATAGTCATACATCTTATCAAGATTAATTATTTTATATTTGGCAAACAAAGGTTTGGTGTGAGCGAGATAGTACTCATTGGCAAAATAACGAAGCATCTTTTTTTGAAGTAAAGTAAGTTTTTCTATGTTTGTTTGTGTAGTTGTCCCCCAAACAAGATGGCAATAAATAATGTAAGACTGAAATAGTGAATAGTAGATTTGTGATTTCACGTTAACTGGGAAAATATTGCGGCAGTGTGACATAACTCCAACCACCCTAGACAGCTTCGTAACAAGATAATTGACATGATTATTCCACAAAAGGTGTTCAGAAAAAATTATTCCAAGCGTCTTATGTTGTTTCACTAACTCGATTGGTACGCTGCCTATTGTAATATTATGATTAATTGGGAGAGCCCTGCTCTTTGGTCGAAAAACTATAGCTTTCGTTTTCTGAATGTTAATTTTAAGGCCATTGTTGTTGGACCATAAGAGGAACTGGCTAAGAACATCATTTGCGTCTACGATTAATTGTTCAACACTCGTTTCGGCAAGAAATAGGCTGGTATCATCAGCGTATATTATGTATTTTATTTGTTTGTTTACATTTACAATATCATTAATATACACATTAAATAACAATGGCCCAAGTATACTACCGTGGGGAACCCCACATCGTATGTTAAGAAAAGGCTATGTATGACCATCGATCACAACACATTGCTTACGGTGCTCCAAATAGGAATGTAAAAGGGACAGAGTTACACCACGTATTCCATAACAGTATAGTTTATCAAGTAGTATTTTATGGTTTATGAAATCAAACGCCTTACTAAAATCTATAAATATACCAAGGGTAAACAGGCGATTTTCTATATTTTTCAAAATAATTTCTTTTTGTTGAAGCAATGCAGACTCAGTTGACTTTCCTTTGCGAAAACCATATTGAAAATCCGAAATCACAGAATGTTTAGCAAAGAAAGAATCGAGGCGTTTTAAAATAATTGTTTCAAGCCCTTTGGAAAATATAGGAAGTATAGAGATAGGCCTATAGTTTGTCGGTAGATTTTTATCTCCTCCTTTAAATATGACTGATACTTTAGCTAATTTCATTCTACTAGGAAACGTCCCCTGTGACAAGGCAAGGTTAAAAATATGCACCAGGCAAGAGGCGATGATATCTATAACAAATTTTACGGGTCTAGCTTGTAAATCATCTGTGTCGCAACTTCTACTATTGCTAAGACCCGTAAATATAGAAAATACTTCGTGTTCATCAGTCGGTTCTAAAAAAAATGTTTCGTGTACTATATCTTGTATAAAACTGAAGGCATTAGCATTACTTGGCGGTGGGCTTAAGTTTACGAATACCTTGTTGAAGTGTTCTGCTAGTGATGCACCAGAAACGTTTTTCCCGTCAACAGAAAGTTCACCAATAGCTTTACGCGGTCTACTACGGTGTAACACCTCATTTATGGATTTCCAAACTAATTCTGGTCGTTTTTTGCAATTTCGGTTAAAAAGCTGTGTAGGTACTCCAGTTTAGCTTTCCGCAATTCAGATGTCAGGCGGTTACGAAATTGCTTGAAATTTTTCAGTTTATCGGGATCTCTTGACGTTAAAAAAGACTTATATAAACGATTCTTCTTTTTTAACATTTTCAGGTGCAGAGGAGTGATCCAGGGCTTCCGAATATTTTTAGAGACTGTCTTTGTTAATAAGGAAAACTTCGAGCTATAGACATTGCTAAAGATGCTAATAAATGTGTTATACGCCTCATCTGCACATGTTTCAGAATAAACTGGGCCCCAATCAGTGCGCAAAATTTTAACCCTGAAATTTTCCAAATTACGCTCGGATATGTTTTGAAAAACATATGATACTTTATTTGATTTCACTATGGAAGCGCCAACCCCACAGGATAAAAATATAGGAATGTGATCGCTAATATCACTAATTATTGTACCAGCGTCATGGACGTCTGTGCTAATATTGGTAACGAAAAGGTCAAGGGCACTGGAGCAGGAAATATTTATTCTAGTGGGAGACTGGATCACATTCATGAAGCCATTTGAACTGATGATGTTATCTAATTGCGATGATAAAGTCGAGTGTAACAGTGTGTTCACATTGAAATCTCCACCAAGAAAGAGGGTTAATTTATTTAGAGATATAAATTCAAAATACCTATCTAGAAACGAACTAAACTTATCAAACCACGCCGATGGCGGTCTATATACTACTGAGAAAACTAAGTTGTTACTTCGTACAGTTAGTATTTCAAAATCATCTGTCAATTCAGTATACCTTGCTAGAAGTTCACACCTGATGTTTTGCCGAACGTAGATGGAAACACCTCCTCCGCGTTTCACCTGACGATTTAAATAAAAATGAGTATAGCCTTGCAAGGCATACATATCATCGTGGTCATGGTACCATGTTTCTGTTAGCATAAAGACGTCGAATTGAGATGGAAAATGAGAAATTAATGTGTCAAATGTATCCACTTTATCTCTGAGGGAGCGCACATTGAGGTGAAATGCTGAAAGAGCGTTCTTAGTTTGTAAGCATTTCATTACATCGGATGGCAAAATACAGTCGTGATACCGCATTTCCATTTGGCGAGACAGTCATTTACATCAATATCTAGCAAATTTTGACGAGATCATCTTCATTCACAAGTTGAACAATAGGCGTGCTGTCAGACTTCCGGGCGAATATCTTTCCATTTTTTGCCCAGACAAATTTCCAGTGAAATTCTCGCTTCCTCCCGATAGCTTTGCCAAGCAGACGCTTGAGCGCTGGGCATAAGTGCTCATTTACAAAAACTGGCAAAGCCGACGAGAGGCCATCGTCACGTCTGTGCACGCAACGAAGGGTGCGCAAATGTTCCTCGCAAAATGAGTTTCTGCACAGGGCACGGTCTAATTTCTTTATAATTCATAAACAGTTCGTTGTGTTTCAGCAATTAATTGTTTATGAGCGCATCAATGCCTTTTTTGTTCTCAATCGCTTGTCTAGTGGTTAAAGGAGTTCCTTAGTAGCATTAATTGATTGTCGACAGTGGGTGCAGAATCCAAAACATTCAGATAAGTTTGACGCGCGAAGCGGTAAAGCTCCAGCCCTAAAAAAAGCATGCACTCAAACCAAAATAAACAACATGCACACAAAAAAAACTTTAAAGAACGATGAGCATAGGAAGCTATTCGGCTATTCACTCGCAACACCTGAATTCAATTCCCCTTCCTTCGAGATTTAATCTGGATCGGATATATTTTTGTGTGTGTAATCCCGGAAGGGGCACCATGTTTAGCTCTTACACTGCACAAGCCAAACTGCCATTTTTGACGCATGAGATAACTCAGATAGGGTGTTCCAAGGGCGTTTGGTCCACGGCTGTATAAGCGACTAAATATGTTGACCAGAACCTGTCTATATGTCTGTATTACAATCCGCGCGTCTTCTTGGAAACGAACATAGTTAAACAGCAATAATACTTAAAGAACAAGCGAGCTGGTGATGATTCATGGTAATAAAACCCGAGATTCAGGTGCACAGAAGTGTTCGTCCCCTTCTGTTTTCCTGAGTCTCGGGTTTTATTGCCATGGAAAAGTTAAATCCGCCTTATGATAAAGGCGGCATTTAATAGCGGTTTATCAGTTAAATGAAATTAGCGTTGCTGGACGATAAAGGAAGAGGTTACGGTGTGTTTGTTTTTTGTGTTTTTTTTTTTGTAAAAAAAAGGAAAGATTTTTTTTTTTTTTTTTTTGTGACGACACAGTTATGAGTTTGGAGATCCCTATGCATCGAGTTCGTTCTTAAAAAAATCAAAAGGTTGAAATCAAAATGAAAGCTAATACTACGATGTTGAAGGCATGCAAACACCGTCCACCAGTTTTAATAATGAACTTATAATCGGATAACATCGTTTGTAATATTGCGCTTTTTACATGTGAATGTATTTTGAACATAACTTAAACAAAAATAACAACCATCCGCTTTTAGAGGACTATAAACAGCGAAAATGCCTTAATCATGATGCAAGATCAGAAATTAGTCAAGGACATCCTAAATTAAAGAAGGTTTGGTTTAAAGCACTTATATTGAATATATTATGAACAACCGGCAATTGTATTTTTGAGCTACAAACTTCCCGGTTCATGGAGCCGAACTTAATATAATTAAGCTTTTACACGGTCAACGCCTTATATTTCCGAAAAACACATATTTCTGAAAGAACTACAGACTGGCAAGTCGCTGATCAAGCAAGTGTAATGTCATGACTAGAATTATATGGTTACGCGTAGGAAACTACTGTGCTTATATGGTCGCCAAATAACATACTCTTAATATGTATACGCTCCGATCCAAACAAAACGAATAAACGACGGCCTTCATAAGTGCCAAATAAAAACGTCAACAGAAGTTTTCGTTCAAGGATCACCGCGTACGCGATCGGGAAATAGGACAGAGCTGCCAATTTCGCATTTCCGAGCCTTATCGACTATTTCGCTTTTTTTTTTTCTTTTAAATAGTGCAACAAAAGAAAGGACAAGGTAACGCTTTCAGAGGCTAGCGGTGAATTTTGCTCGCTGGGTGAAAAGACTGAAAAGAATAGACCGTTGCAAAAACAGCATTCCTTCGATTTTCAGCCTTCCATGAACTGCTTCGATTGAAACGCCCGTCGTGTTTGGTCTCTCCGAATGTCGTCAAGTCGAGGGGGCTCGGCAAGGGTATATATATTGAGCCAGTGCGGGCTGGTAGTCACATCGCCTTCGGCTCCGCAGTAGTCGCGCAACTCCCACCAAGTCGCGAAGGATCACTATGAAGGCCACGGTAAGTTTGTTCGATCTACTACTGCACACCCTAGTATCCCAGTTAAACGGGCGCATTTAACTTCAGTTACGCTTACCCACAAGTACCACACTGTACTCTTGTCTTATACAACTTTCTGTGGCTATGCAGTCAAAGCTATGGGCAAACGTGCACTTGCGCATCTTGAGCGCCCATCAAGACTGTGCTCGCGCACTCTTCGCTTGTGTGTGTAATTGCGGTCGAGTGTAACTGCAGTTAAGGGTGGCTTAACAGCGGTAAAGGGCGCCTGTGTAACAAGGGTACAAGAAATCTGGAGAGCCTACATTTCCGCAAAATACTTGAGAGAACCAATCGCTGCAATGTACGGAGGGAGTTCGGAGAATGAGGAGGTTGATAACACCTTTAAGCTGTTGCGCTGAGCATGACCTCTCGCACTGCTCAGTGCCACAGCCTAAACGTATTATCAACCTCCACATTCTCTAACTAACTCCTTGGTACACTGCAGGGATTAGCTCTTCCAGGTGCTTTGCAAGAGAGTAGATGCTCCAGACATCTTAGAGCGCACCATGGACTCGTTTCCACAATACTCGACCTTTGCGCGCTGCAATTTTAGTCTGCTGGGCTGTGGTACGCCTTCCGAGCGTGCGCAGTACTTTTCTCCTGGGGAATAGCAGACGCTGCATATCCGCTCACAGCCCTGTGTCTCGGCATTCTTCGCCTGGGAGATACAGCACTGGAAAAGTGTTTAGATTATGCCGCATTGGGGCCTTTGAAATCAGGCTTGCAGTATCTACCGCATAGCATTTGAATCGGTTCTTACAGGCTGGGGCAGTTCAAAATATTAAGAGGCAGCACAGCGTACCGACCACTGTATTGTCCCAGGGGCTCGAAAAAGTTGTAGAAATAAACTTTTGTGTGAGAACCTAGTCACGTACAGGTCAAAGATGCATTCGGGATTTTGAATGTAAAAGTGTCAACGGCTTACACGTTTTGTTTATATTATTATCCCAAACATTATTGCTCGATGTTTAAAGATCGTTCGAGCCAGAAGAAAAACATTAATTGTGTTTTTTTACTGCTCAGGAATTCAAGGTATGTGTCAGGAATAAAGAAGCATCAATGCGAAACTAGCGGACGCCCTGCTTTCTGTGCGTGCTAAGTATGCCTGCAAAATTATTCAAAAGTGGAGGTTTACGTCAACCGAAAGCATGCTGACCAGTATGCTTCACTTGGATGCATCTCCTAAATTATAAAATTTAATTATTGCTGACCAACAGGCCACTTAACTACACGAAACTGGTGCCATCTATAGCGTCGGTTAAGCGACATTATAGGATCAAACACCAAATTAGATATCCCCCATGAAAATGTTAAGATGCCTTCTTTGTTATCTTTTACAAATACATCCATAGATGTCATTATAACAAAACAGACGCAAAGTAGTTTGAACTTCAAAGCTAGCTGAAAACTAATGGCAGGTTTTACGTGCAACTGTCGTGCGTCGAACACGAACCCAACAACGTCACAACCGAACAAATCATACGGCAAAACATTTTTGTTATTTCGTTTTGCTTTCTTTTGGACAAGGTCCGAAAGAGGGACCAGTGCAAGTGGCTAAGAAGCCTGACGAGGCATTGCTTCCTTACAGTTGACTTAAGTACCTACCTAATGCACAAAACAAATTCATTCAGCTAAGGGTTAGAAACGCCTGACTCTGGGATATATGCATAAATGTACTAGACCCAAATGTTTTTATGATATACAGATATCTTGTCTGAGAGTAGGCCTAGTCCTGTTCAATCAAGATTATGACACAGCAACGCCGTAAAAATAGCTTTTGCCCAAAGATGTACCAAGCAAAAAGTGCATTCGTAACGGCAGTCTGTGAGCCGGTAGGAAAACAGTATACCGATACTCTCCTGGACAGCACGCGTCTAGTTTCTTGTACAACATACGAATGTCAATCACTGTAATTTTACAAAGACATCCAGCGAATAACGTGCAAGAAATAAAATGTTCAAATATGAATACCATGAGGTATTCATATTTCAAGAATGTTGCCCAGAATGGATTTTTGAGAATCGAAAGCTTCCAGGGTTCATCTATGGCTAGGTGTTTTTTCTATGGCCCCTGCGGCTTAAGAAATGCAAGGCGTGGCTTCACATGCGCATGCCTCTTGCTTCGTGATTAGTTCTTCGGCTTTATTATCGGCCAGTGGTGAAATCTCACTGGCTAAGATACTTGGCACTCGCACCGTCCTGTGTTTCTAAAGTTGTCAGTAACTTTCTAGCTCACGATGACTGATACATTCTTAATTCTAAATGCATTCTCTCTCTCCCTTTCATTAAGCTCGCCCTCGTTGTTCTGTGCCTGGCCATCGCCGGTGCATTGGCAGGCTACGGCTACGGAGGATATGGAGGCTATGGAGGATACGGCGGCTATGGAGGTTACGGGGGATACGGCGGCTATGGCGGCTACGGTGGATACGGAGGCTACGGAGGCTACGGAGGCTACGGAGGCTACGGTGGATACGGCGGATATGGTGGATATGGAGGCTACGGCCACGGCTACTACGGCTGAATGACTGCTCTCCAAGACTGAAAGTCCAGTCATTAATAAATGTCGGCAGCCACCTCAACGTTGGTTTACCGCACGTCGTTCGATCCTTTCCTGTAATAGCCATTCCATTCGCGACGCTTAGGTAAAAGGGGAATTTAGCGGCTACGTGCACTACTGGAACAATTTCAAAAGTGCACCTTGTTCCCGTTCTTTTCTCCTGTGCTTACCAAAATTCACATTTCTATTCAGCTTTAGGGGAGCAAATATCTGCCGCACTGCATCGGGAAAAGAAAAAATCAAGTTGCGTAATTACAATCTGCAACTCCGGAGGAAGAAATATAAGAACTGCCACAATACTGCATGTAACCTCTAATTTATTATACTTATTCCAACGAATATTGGAAAAGAGAACACAATCCGATTATATTGCTTTCCCGCTGACTTTCTTCTTGAGGCTTGGGGAAGGGGGCGAGTGGGGGGGGGGGGGGGGAAGTTAGGAATGAGGTCAGTCAATAATATTTAAATTAATAATAATATGTAATTAAACACTTTCGCGGGAAGAATACACTTCTCTGAACTTGTTTTATATTTTATCTTCCCTCCTTTTTTTATATAGTACCGTGCGACGACACTTACATCTTCCTGGGTATGCAGACAAGTTTAGAAAGGTCCCGTTGTACGATGGAAACCTTGAACCCACAAAATGCATTTCAGAAGCTGTTGTAAGACAAGCCCTTTGAAATATTTGAGAATGGTCAGCATAGCAATGGAAGCGAAGACATACAAGACATCCACTTGCGTGCTCTCAGTACAGTGGTGTCCTTCTACAATCCCGTCTGGTACGATGTTACACTTGAAAACGCTCGAATAGAAGAATTCTAAATGGAAGAGGATGTTATCAACGGAAGAGAGTGGAACGAACTCGAGCTTCCTTCAAATATAAACTTTCATAGTGGATTTGGCCTCGTTCTCGTTCTCATTGGCGGGCACCGGCGAATACGACAGAGTTCCCCCGAGAGTCACGCTTTTAGTGCCACCTCGCGATGGGCGCAGCAAACGCTCTGTCAAAAGCAGGCGTAGGTTACCGAGAGTATGCTGTGCCTATCGGAAGATGGCGCTCGCTCCCTTAAAGGAGACCCTCACCTGGCTACTTTGTCATCAGCGTCAGCGCCCGTCGTTGAAATTGTCAAAGGTGTTGTTCTCCTTCTTCATGGCAAAAGAGCCACTTTGAAATTTCATAAGGCATAATCAATCACTGAAGCAAAATCGGCACCTGCATGCGTCCAAGTACAGTTTTCTGAACCTCCGTAACACCTGATGCTCAGATGTCATATTCGCGCTTCTTTAGTGTGACCGAAAATGCGGTGCAATATCCCCGGCAGGGTTGCCGAATCGTGGGAAATTTCCCGTATTGTGGGGAAAAGCGTAACAGCTAGAGAAAAAGGAAAAACAGAATTTAAACACATGTAAAACGTGGGAAACATTTTTAATAATAAACTAAACTAAAATTTGTCATTTTCTTATCTACATCGAACAAGAGATGGGAAGTCGCACTAGCTACTTAGACACTTCGCTGTTTTTAAGAGCCAATCTAACTCACCACGACTTCATCAGGTGCATGCTTCCAGCCTGTCGGTACACTACTGCCGGTTCGCGCGCTTTCCTCACCGCTAGCTACACACACACGTCCTCTGTCAGTGCGATAGATCATGGATTGCACAGTGGGCGTGTTCCCTTTCACATCACAAAAACGAGCAGGCGATTTTAGTGTAGTTTAGTTAATGGCCCGCTTGCCTTCATTTAGTTCCCCGGGTTCATTCAACCAATGTAGAGTGCGGAAAAGGAGAGGAGGGGAGACCAGTTTGCCGAATGTTAACTTCTACGTTACGTAATTTATGCGATGAAAATTTCTACAAAACAAAAAAAAAACATATGTGAGCTGTTGCTGTATTTAAATATACGTGGCGTCATGCGTATGTTAAAGGAAGATGGGGCGGTTCTGCATTTGAGAAAAAACACTTGAATTGTGTTTATTTGGCCGTTAGAATAACAGATATCTCAATTATATTTCCATGTGACACGCCGGAGAGCTATAAGAGCAATTTCAAGATAGGGCTGAAGCCCCGCCGCCTCCCTAGCCTTGGGCAGCCAAAAGATCTGTCGATGACGTCACGAACAGCGACTGTCTTTCGCGTTTTCTCGCGTTTAACAATTCTTGCGCAGCAAATGGTTTGGGTATTCGGGTTCATAAGATAAAATTCCACTAGAATTCACTTCTAACTCATTTTTTTCAAGAAGCTCCGTAGCTTCTCTTTAAAAACGACTTCTGTCACTAAAATGGTGTTGTGGGGAAAAAAAGGGAATTTTCGCCGTTCGACGTGGGACAAACCGAAGTGGCCGTGCGGTAACACTGATCCGCGGCACCAAGTCTCGTGATTATGCTAGACACAAAACTAAGACCGAAGAAAAACAGACAGTCGGCTAACACTGGGGCTCTTCCGCCCAGTCCGCCGACAGGATGGACGCGTGTGGTGAAAACTACTACCCTCTCATCGTAAGCCAGACCGGCGAGTTTGCCAGGGAACCCAAACTCCCTCGACAGCGGCAGGTCACCACAGACTTGTACACGTTACTGAAAAATTGGAAGGAATTACATTTACAATTACTCAAGGCTAAATTGTAATGTATTACAATTACAACTACCCTCCCATAAAAGTAACGGTCCGTTACCCCAAAAAGTAATCCGTTACTTTCGTGGCGTTACTTTTAACATTACTGTCCTCAAGTAAGAAACAAAGGGAAGAGGGTTATTCAAGTTCTTATTGTTGCAACCTGTTCCATTTAATGACCTTGAGTATTTTGAGCAACAGACGGCTCTCGAAAGTCTCGTCATACATTTTGACGTTATTTCTTACCTAATATGTCGACTGCTACGCTGAACACCATTTGAACTGAGGCACTGAATGGGAGTGCCATATTGTTCCTCACGAATGCTTTATGCTCTGCATTGGACTCTTTCAACGAAGCAATGTAAGTACTATTTACCTCGACCATAGAGCAAAGTTTTGTCGTTGCAGCCATTGCCTGCTACTCGAAACATTTTGTAGATCATTCCGATATCTCCAATACCCGCGATAACGGTACCCGATAACGATATGATGCATACGCAAAGACGGCGGCGAAGTATCGGATATCGTTATCGGAGTCATCGGACCGATCTACTAAACTTTTTCATTGTCTAAATCTCGAAGGTGTGGAAGTCATCATACATCTTGCCAAAAGTCGATGCATATATTGCCAGACAATAGCAAAACATAGTTGTAACAGTAAGGTAATAATTAAATAATAAATAAGGTTTGGCTCGATATTCTTCTTCCTTTGGTTCTCAACAGGTCGAGCCTCGGTTGAGACGTTGGTGAATAAAAAAAAAGTTTTCCGTATATAAATACAAGTAATAAAAGAAAAAGAACGACACTTATAACAACAATTAATTAGAACGTCGGTTAAAACAAGGAAATGTAAACGCACGTTTGGCGTGTGTACCTTTATTGGTGCCGTTCAAAAACGCACGGAGCACGAACCGACTGCAGTTTACTCCGGTGTTCTCCAGTGATGCCACGGGCAGCGAAGGGTAGAGTACTAAGTAAGCCGCGCTATGACCCCACTCACGAGTTTCACTCTCTCCTCAAGCCCAGAATATCAAGTCTACGTCAGCCACTATTATGTTTTATTTGTAAAAATATCTGCTTGAGATAAGATGCGTCCCGCTGGGGCAAAAGAGGAAGAAGAAGAAAGGAAGACTATTACCATTTTCCAAGTGCTCGCAAAAAGCTGACTTATAAAAAGGGTGACTGAGATGCAGATAACCTGGCTGGAATTCACAAATAAAGTGGGCCAACCCTAGAAGTTGGACTACAAAAAAGTAAGTAGCTTTTAAAGCAGGGTCAAATAATGTGAAAGATGGAGAAAATATATATCCTGTTTTATAAGAGAAGATGATAAGTGTGCAGCAACGAACGAGGGTGCTTGTGGCAATAATACCTTCACATATTATCACATCTCTTTTAGTGGATTTTAGGGTAGACGGAGCGTTGTCTCGTGTTGTGGCATTATGAAAATGCTCGTAGTCACTATAACCGAGAAGGACACTGTTAATTATTTTCAGTGCACTTACCGCCTCGAGCTTCTCTAAGAGGCGCACAATCACTTCGTGTACTCCTCTCCCCGTCTTCGATCGCAAAGAAAAAAAAAAAGCGACTAATAAAAATGTGCATTTGGATTTTTCGACAATGTTGTTGGGGTCTAAAAAAATATTCAGGGGCTTGGTGTTGCAAAAAAAGGTTTTGCGGAACCGAAGAGTGCCAAGCCTCCCTTTGCGCTGGTCAATTCGCGTCACAGTGTCACTGAGCTCGACTTTACCAAAAAAAAAAAACTATCTATAGAAAGGGGTCTGAAAACAAAAAGTAACGGATTGCAAGGAATCCGTTACGTCAAAATGTAAGGGAATTATGTACTTTAAAATTACTCTAGAAAATATGTAATTATTCCGTTACTAAATTACTGATAAATGTAAGGGATTACAAGTAATTTCGCTACTTGTAACGGTTTACGTACAAGTCTGACCACAACACGGTGGGCTCCGCCAACACCTCCTGGATAACAAGGCCTTGGTGCTGACGTCATCTAAAGAAGGCGTATACGTGGGGCACACATGGCACACTAGTCCTGCGTCAACGCTCGGGTAGGGATAGAGTCCTCGCTGATTGAAAATCAGTCCCAACTAAACTCTGATGCAGCACTCGGGGAAAATCTGTGCCTCGCGTAGGCCTTCTGGAAATGATGCCGAAAATTCAGCACTACAGTTTTGTGACCTGGAAGGCCTCCCACCGCTAAGACGAAACCAGCAGGGACTGTGCACTCACCCTCCCTTAATAAAGCCTCCTGTCCTTACCCTGAAACGTCTTAGAAGACTCTGGATGCGAATAGATTCCTCCAGATAGTCAATCATTGGCCTGTCATAC